GATCCATTGTTAGGCTGATGGTCCTTCTTGAGCATGTGATCAGCTGGTTTTGGTTGTCAGCAGCAAACTGGTTGATCCACTCTGAGAAGGTGCTATTTAAGAGACTGAGCTGAAAACAGCACCTCAGACTGAGGAAGTCTTACGGATGAAAGACGATACGTTTCTACAATCTTTTTGTTTTGTTTTGTTTTTTTAATGTCCAGAGGAGATTTTTCTACCTGGATTATTGAACATGCATCAGGATAAATAGAATGTTCCTAGAGAAACTTTGACAGGGGCTCGTGCCAATTTAAACATTTGATTTGACACTACTATGTGTTGGGGTTCGCTTTACCACTATACCAAATTTCATCTGAATAGCTCTAAAATGGCTGAGTTCAATCAATCAATTCAACTTTATTGTCCATAACATTCAATGAAATAGAGATTTGTCTTTTACATCTGGCTCATCACATTTTTTTTCTTTTTAGCTAAGTCGGCCATCTTGGATTTTTTATTTTGATGTTGCATTTGATGGAAAACATTCTCGGCTATCATCACATCAAATTTCAGCTCAATATCAGTAAAATTAGCTGATTTATAGTATGTTTTTCCTTTTTTGCTCAGGCGGCCATCTTAGATTTTTGATTTTCCTTCAGAGTCTACAGTATTAAGGATCATTCTCAGCTCCCAATACACTAAATTTCATGTGGATATCTCTAAAAATGGCAACATAATTGTATTTTTTTTCTCTTTGAGCTAAGGTGGCCATCTTGGATATATGATTTGCATTATGAATGCTTAACAAGTCGCTCATAGCTACAACCACACAAAATTTCAGCTCAAAATCTCAAAGAATGACTGAGGTATAGTTAATTTTGTGTTTGTGGAGGTAGCTGTGGCAGCCATCTTGAATCAAAATGGCTCCAAATATTACTCAGCTTTAGATATACATCTGATGATTACCTTCTGTGAGTTTCAGACAAATCCAATGAGCTGTTCATGAAATATGTTGCTAACAGAAAGACCATCTACGTTTACATGTATTTCTAAATGTGTGTTCCTGAAGTCAGGTCAGAGGTGCGTGCATGTGCCCATGTGTGCACCCGTTCTTGCGTGCATGGGCACATGCATGTGTGTGGAGGTAGAGCACAGTAACACAGGTGCAGGAGCAAGAAGAGACAAAATCTTGCTTTGAATAAACACGTGCTGTGTAAGTACTATAAAGTCTTTTGAATAAATTCTTTAAGCCTGAATGAGATAAGAGATTGGTTCACAACCGTGAATTTTCACATTTTTACAGCACTATATATCAGATATATCACGAGTTAAAAACACTCCTCACAACGTGATCTGAATAAAAAAATTGTCAGTATTACAGCTGCTGGTCGTAAAATTAGAATATCATGAAAAAATTGGGCAGCACGGTGGCACAACTGGTAGAGCAGCTTCCTCTCAGCAAGCAGGTCCCTGGTTGAAATCCTGGTCCGGGGGCCTTTCTGGGTGGAGTTTGCATGTTCTCTCTGTGCATGCATGGGTTTTCTCCAGGTACTCCATTTTTTTCCCACAGACCAAAAACATGCATGTTAGGCTGATTGGTAACTCTAAATTGTCCCTAGGTGAGAGTGAGAGGGTGTACCCCGCCCCTGGCACAGTGATTGCTGGACATGGGCACCGATGACCCCCGTGACCCAAAATGGAAGAAGCGAGTAAAGATAATGGATGGGGATGAAAAAATTGATTTATTTCAGTAATTCCATTCATAAAGTGAAACTTGTTTATTATTTTCATTCATTACACACAAACTGATATATTTCAAATGTTTATTTCTTTTAATGTTAATGATTATAACTAGGGATGGGGCCGATCCAATCCGGTATCGGCCTCTGATACAAGCATAATTTATGTATCAGAGATTTCCGATCCATGATGCATGTCTGTGTCTGATGAAATGTCTCCACATGTGATTCCCTGCAGGCTGCTCTGCAAGTTGGCTTCAAACTATGGAATGGATTTCCTGAACAGAGGCGTGTCTCATGAACCCAGAGTAATAAGACCCGCCTCACATTCAGCAAGTCCATTTCTTAGTTTGCAGCCAGCTACAACATGACAGCACTGTGGCTAACAGCTAACCAACTTTTCATCGTAACATGTCCGCTGTGTGGAAGTATTATACACTAGAACCACCCCAAGACAGCAACATGTAATGTCTGCAGAGCCGCTGTACCGAGAGGGGGAAGCTCGGTCACGTCTTACAAAACATGGAACTTAATAAACATTTGAAAAAGCACCACATTAAAGCGCATGAGGCTTGTTTAGCCAGCCACTGCGGTAAAGTTAGTTTTACGTTGGACGTTCGAGCTCTGTGGCTTCAGCGATGTGTTCCTCTCATTCAGTCCAAGGCAGGCAGTCCGATCTCAGTCAGCCGTGCTCAGTCTGCCCGTCTCGGAGGAGCTGAGTGAGCACGGCTGACTGAGATCAGACTGCCTGCTTCACAGCTTGATTGAATATTTGAAGCCAAGATATAGTTTACATTTACCCTCCAGGAGATATTCATCAGTACAGCAGTAGGCAATCATAAAAAAAAAAATAAAAAAAAAAACATGAGTTGAAGAATAAAAGAAAATTATATATTTTAAAAAAATTAAACAAAAAACAGCTACATTATAAAGTGATGTAAAATACTAAAAACAGGAACATGTCTGTGTTGGTTTATGCCATGAACTTAGCAGATGTTTGAAGCCATTTAATCAGTTTAGTATCCACTTCAGCGTATTGTTTTTATGCTTAGTGTATATTTGGTTCATGTTTTTCTTAGTTCATATCTTAGATCTTATTGCTGTTTTTCTTTTGCATTTTATTGTGAGATGTAACTGGGACCCTGTGTACATAATCTTGTTCCACCACATGTACCACATGCGGTGTGTATGACAATAAAACTCTCTGATGCTGACTGTAAAGCTAGGAGTTTTGTGTTTGCAGGATTTAGTTCTAACTTTGAAACTTATCCAACATTAATAAAACTTACCTCAAGTTTCCTTTTTGGACATGCATGCATATATTTGTACAAGTTGTACTTGCCTGTAGAGAGGAGATTATTACAGCCTCATATAAAATCAATAATGATGATGATAACGGAGTAGTATCGGCCAATATCCAGATTTGGGTATCGGGATTGGATCGGAAGAAAAAAAAAGTGGATCGGTGCATCCCTAATTATAACTAACTAATGAAAACCTCAAATTCAGTATCTCATAAAATTAGAATATTGTGAAAATGTTCAATACAGAAGAGACCTGGTGCCACACTGTAATCAGCTAAGGCCTTGAAATAGTCTCTCAGTCTAGTTTTGTAGGCTACACAATCATGGTGAAGACTGCTGACTTGACAGTTGTCCAAAAGGCGACCACTGACACCTTGCACAAAAAGGGCAAGACAAAAGGTCATTTCTAAAGAGGCTGGCTGTTCACAGAGCTCTGTGTCCAAGCACATTAATAGAGAGGCAAAGGGAAGGAAAAGATGTGGTAGAAAAAAAGTGTACAAGCAACAGGGATAACGGCACCCTGGAGAGGATGGTGAAACAAAACCCATTCCAAAATGTGGGGGAGAGTCATAAAGAATGAACTGCAGCTGGAGTCAGTGCTTCAAGAACCACCACGCACAGACATATGCAAGACAGCTGTTGCATTCCTTTTGTCAAGCCGTTCTTGAACAAGAGAAACATCTCGCCTGGGCTAAAGACAAAAAGGACTGGACTGCTGCTGAGTGGTCCAAAGTTATGTTCTCTGGTAAAAGTAAATTTTGCATTTCCTTTGGAAATCAAGGTCCCAGAGTCTGGAGGAAGAGAGGAGAGGCACAGAATCCATGTTGCTTGAGGTCCAGTGTCAAGTTTCAACAGTCAGTGATGGTTTGGAGTGCCATGTCATCTGCTGGTGTTGGTCCACTGTGTTTTCTGAGGTCCAAGGTCAACACAGCCACGTACAAGGAAGTTTTAGAGACTTCCTGCTTCCTGCTGCTGACCAACTTCATGAAGATGCAGATTTCATTTTCCAACAGGACTTGGTACCTGCACACAGTGCCAAAGCTACCAGTACCTGGTTTAAGGACCATGGTATCCCTGTTCTTATTTGGCCAGCAAACTCACCTGACCTTAACCCCATAGAAAATCTATGGAGTATTGTGAAGAGCAAGATGTGATACACCAGACCCAACAATTCTGAAGAGCTGAAGTCCATTATCAGAGCAACCTGGACTCATAATACCTGAGCAGTGCCAGACTGATAGACTCTATGCCATGATGCATTGCTGCAGTAATCCAGGTAAAATGAGCCACAACTAAGTACTGAGTGCTGTACATGCTCATACTTTTAATGTTCATACTTTTCAGTTGACCAACTTTTCTAAAAATCCTTATTTTAATTGGTCATAAGTAATGTTCTAATTTTTTGAGCTACTGAATTTGGGATTTTCATTTGTCAGTTATAATAATCAACATTAAAATAAATAAACATTTGAAATATATCAGTCTGTAATGAATGAATATAATATACAAGTTTCACTTGTTGAATGGAATTACTGAAATAAATCAAGTTAGTTGTGATATTCTAATTTTATGACCAGCACCTGTATAATGGAGAAACATATGAGTGATGCACCTCACAAAAAAACATAACTCTTACAGCCAAGACAAACATACTGGTGGAAAGTCAACAAAAAAGCCTACGTTTTGATATATAATATATTAGCATAGTTGATCTAAAACCATCCTGGCATTTTTCGTACGTACATGTATTTAAAATCATTAACCTGATTAACTGAATTGTTTTGTTGTGATTAATTCTTCCAGAGGAGACAAAGCAAGTTCTAAGGCTGAGCCTGACTGAGTTCTCACTGCCCAAGTTCTACCTTCTGTTTGGTATCAGCAAAGTCAAGTCAGCCGCCGTTATCGCCTTCCGCTCCAGCTACAGAGACCGCTCCTTCTCACCTGGCTCGTATGAGAGGGAGACCTTCGCCCTTTCCTCCCTGGAGACTGTAACCGAGGCCTTACTGGAGATCATGGAGGTCAGCAGAATAAATGTGTGCCTCTACTGTGGAGAGACCTGACATGTTAGTTTGTTAGTTAGTTAGTTAGTTAGTTAGTTAGATAGATAGATAGATAGATAGATAGATAGATAGATAGATAGATAGAT